GGATTATTACATTTTCAAGACTGAGGTGGATAGGTTTTTGTTAGGTCAGGGTATCAAGGGGTATGGGGCAAAAATGGTTAATTGGAATGATCTTTATAGAATGGCCATGATATTATAGAATGGCAGAACAGACTTGAAGGGGCTGAATGGCCTACTCCTGTTCCTATGTTCTGATTAATGACTGCGGGCTAGAGCGGAGTGCACACATTCTGTGGAGGAAGGGACTTGATGGACCAAATAGTCTTTTATTTTCTCATTACATGTGTTATAGAACATTAACCTTGTCCATATCCATCTAACACAGAAAAAAAAATGTCATCCCTACTGTCAAACAATCCTGCAGGTGGAAGGGACTCACTGTGTCACCCCATGTTGTTGAAATATATGGTTTATTACCTCAGAGTGCCTTGGCATATTTCAAACCGAATGTTCCAGAAGGTTTGATAGTTAAATGGTTAAAAGTAGCTTTGCTGAACGGGCTGAGATTAGTTTCTGATTACATTTTGTATTTTCCTGGGAGATGTTCACACCTCTGAGACAATGAGCAATCAGGTCCCTGAGCATAGATGTAAGAACGATGGACCACAGAAAGAAAAAGCTGCAGCCTCAGACACCTGCCTGTCTCAAGGCTGAGAAACAAGCAGCGTGTGGTAGGCTGCCCACAAGTTGTCCACATCTCTCTCTCTGTGCAAAGCAGCCTGCGAAGGGTATGGGCTATCTCTGTGACCATGGAAGGTGGAGATAGAAACACATCGAAGAAAGATGTAACTTTGGATTAGTTGTATAGAGGGTCAGCACACTTTCCAGTGGAATCAATATAGATTCTACTGTACCTATGTATATGTCCAGGAGATGAGGGAATTTACCTCCAGTAAGAAAGTGACCATTAAAAGGGAAAGAGGAGGAGTGGTCGGCAGAAGCCAGAGGAAAGACAAGGATGGAGGTCAGATGATCGTTGCCCAGAGTCAGCGGAACGGGTACATGGTTTGATTCTGTAAATACTTATATTTTCAATCTACGACTGTTTGTGGGACATTGCTGTGCGCAATTGGCTGCCGCATTCGCCCACAAATATACAGTCAATTCACTTTACAGTGTGTTCTGTGAAGCGCTTTGGGACGTCCTCCCGACGTGAAAAGCGCTATATCAAATGCAAGGATTATTATTATTATTATTATTATTATTTGACTAATTGTTCAATAAAACTTTGTTGCATCACTTGTCGGGTCATATTTCGAACTCAGGGGTCAGAAATCCTATCAATGTCCGTTGGACTTGTTGTTATACTGATTTAACAATTTTTCAAAAGCTGTCACTGTGTATGAAATACTGAGGATGCCAGCAATTACATATGTAATGGAAACCGAGTGATAGGAACTTTGCAGTGCGGATTCCAGTTAGACAGCAGTTAAAAATAGCTGGCTGCTTTTTGGCTGTGTTTGTTGGAAATATGGTACGGTAAATAATAATAATAAAAACGGACATTAAAGGATTAGCAACAGGAAAAAAGAAACAAACCTGAAGGAATAAAAGCATCCAAGTAAATTAGAACTGAAATTTAATCCTAAATTACAAAATCAGGCCGTCTCGGAAAAAAACGTCACTGACTTGTGTTCTGACAAAGTCAATCGAAATGCAGTTTAATAATGTTGATGGAATAATCTAATATTTGCAATCAACATTTCAGTTAATTCATGCTGTATCCGGTGACGCGCCTTGAGACATTTCGACTATGTGATAAGGTGCTATATCAAATGCAAGGATTATTATTATTATTATTATTATCATTATTTTGCTACAAGCACATTATCCCAGTTACTGACTCCCACACTCTGGTGTGATGCCATGTAACCATTTATTTTATGGTAGCGCTGCCCTCAATACAAGAGGTGAATGATCAATTTAATTGGAGGATCAATTATTCTACTGATGTCTTCCTGTCCAACACCATAGTTTAATAGCGAAATCAATAGCTTTCTCATTCATGCGGAAAAAATAAACATCTTCATTTACTGACATCATCTGAAGTTTGTTTGCGGCCTTCATAATAGTGAATTGACAGGGAAAAAAAGTTTGTGAATTCAATAGATCTTTGAGTTTGTGTTATAGATGATGAAGACTGGTCTTTTGTAGGTATTGTTGCCATATTTTCTATATTTCAAACTATTTGAAGTGTTACGCGAGGAAGCCGCTCACTCACTTGAACTATGTAACTATATATAACATGACAAAGGGGGTATTTCACACTGTTATCCTAACATGCACACCTTATTCCCCTGTAAACAGAAGTACACGATGGAGAACATTACAGATAGTCGAGATCGGGTCATTTAATCAATGGAACGGGATGAGTATATAATGACATAATCTGAAACCCGTGGATTAAATTACAGCCACTTAACTGCGCAATTGTGTGGTATTTTTATAATTTTATGTCAAGGTCTCAACAAAGTTAAAACTGCACCAACGGGGGAGGTTGAAAGCAGCATTGAAATGGCACTGATTGATGACTGTGTCCTCACATATCCTCACAAGTCCTCAACCCACTTTATAGCGTTTTCTCCAGGCCGGTTTAAACAAACTGGGGCCGTCCTTGGATATGGAACCCATGATCTGATTTTGCCGAAAGCAATGTGGAACCATTACATCAACAACCCATGAGAGAGTTAACCACACTTCTTACTTCAGAACCAAATTAGCCCTTCAAAGTGCACAATCCTATCATTTTCCCATAACAACTTATCTAAAGTTATACCACCTACCCCGTAACATTCATCACGCTCAGACATAAACGCTACCATTTAGTTGATTTTGATTAGAAGTATAGCGTCTACAAACCATTTGAAACCAAACATAAACTTTTCTCACCAGAACAGAATAATATTTTGAACAACGACATATTTCTGATTCCGACAGAAGGAAAGCAGAGAGAGAGGAGAGAGAGAGAGAGAATGGGAGCCCTGGCGTAGGGTTGGAAGGATAGCAGGACTATTTGAAATAATATTCCTATAATATTTAGCCAACTAATATGCTATGCATAATTTAAGATATTCTTTGAAACATTGATTGGTGAATGCGAGTGTTTTCTTGTCTCTCTCTCTCTCTCTCTCTCTCAGCCCCTGAGCTACAAAGCATCTCAATGACCAGCTGATCAAAGGGTCTTACCCTTAAGTGCTCTGAAAAATAAGGAGCCAGAGAATTTGGAATTTAAACACATCCTTCTAATACGAGCTCAGACATTAAGCTCTTTGGGAGCATTGCTCACCCAACAGTAACTAGGGTGTCAAGGAACTGTCGATAAGTAATAGTAACCCTCAAACGTGCTGTGAGTTGCACTGAGCTCATGTCGAGATTCTTAAACCGATTGAAACTCAGGTTCTAAGGTTATGCAGGTTTGTTAATTAATGGAGAAGCATTCACATCACAATGTCACTTTTTGATGATAATAATAATGATAATAATAACAATCCTTGCATTTGATACAGCGCCTTATCATGTCTTCGAGATGTCTCAAAGCGCTTCACAGGTTACACTGTAAAGTGGATTGACTGGGTGTTTCCTGGTGAAATTGATCTATTGATGTCTTCCTGTCCAACACTGTGAAGCAGAATACACTCAGTGTTGGGGCCCAACACCCAACAATAGAGAACAGGAGCTGTTTATTATAATTTTATAATTATTTGAGCGAGGCGATCAAAAAGTTTAATTGGCAGTTGCAGCACCTTGGGACGTCCTCCTGACGCGAAAGGCACTATACAAATGTAATGTTGTTGTTCTTGTTGTTGAGAGGTTTTCAAGAGAGACAAAAATGTAAATTGTGTGTTGGGGGAAGGGAGGGGGGAAGAGAGAGGACTTTGAGCTATTTTATAGAGCTGTTCCCCCTATTGGGTCGTTTTCTACAAGTCCCCTTTTACAGGGCTTTTGTGACAGACCTAAGTTTGGGTTTGGGAGGAACATAACACGTTGTCTGATCTGTTTAAACTGCGAGAGAAGACCTATTTACAGGAGTCAGACTTCCCTTTGTACAAATCAGGGGGTGTCGGTTTCTTTAACCTTGAGATGGACCAGAAAATATATTGTATGACAAACAAAGAGAGAGAGAGAGAGAGATGGAGAGCCACAGGAATCAGTAACATGCACAAGGTTTGGAATGTATACAGCAGAATGGATTGGAGCTGCATTTAAAATGCATCCTATTTTGTTGTATATATCTATATATATATATATATATATAGAAATGTCACAAAAACAGTATTTTGCCCTTTTTAAAATATATTTAAAGGCAGATCCGTTTAATAATCCCTGTGCGTATTGTGTTACCTATTCACTCTTGGTGCAGACTGGATCCCACACCCATCAAATGATTGTAGATTCCTTTACGAACTCGTGTGCACATGAGCGGAAAAAAGCACCATTCTCCCCATCAATCCACGAATTTTAACACGAATTGGACAGAAGGCTTCGCAAAGGGAGGACAAAGCCAAAGGGAAAGAGATAGATAGAGAGAGAGAGAGAGAGAGAGGGCTATTCCCATTGCAATTAGAATTGCTGAGCAATGGGCATTTTAAGGAGAGCAAAAAAAATACTAAATAGGGAACCAGTCTGAGCTCACAATTTAAAATATATTCAAATACATACATATATATACCTTTGATCCCTTTACATATGCTATAAGCAGTCTCTGATATATATATATGAGTGTATATATATATCTGAGTGTATGTGTATATACAGCCCTATATATATATATATATCAAATGATTGTCGGGTGTATATACTGTATGTGTGTTTCACTACGATGTGGGATAGTGAGAGTGGGTGTGGAGATGAGGTTAAGACTCAACCAACAACCAACAACCAACCAACCAGGAACAGCTGAGTTAGAGCTACTTTGTGGCTCAAAGGCACTCAGTCAGTCAGTCACAGTCAGTCCGCAGTCAGTGTGGTTCTCAGCTCTCTCTCTCTCTCCTCTCACACCACACACACACACACACATATATATATATATAGCTTCTCTCTCTCTCTCTCTCTCTGCTGCTATGGAGATGTAAACGGATCAAAGTCATAGCAAAGAAAGGAAGACACCAAACCCTCACTGAGCGGATATTGAACTGCATCTTCACACAAAAGATGAAGATCGCATCCTTTATTTTGGTCCTTTCTCTGGTGAGTGATTTGACTTTCTCTCCTCTCCTCTCTCTCTCTCTCTCTCTATACCTCTTACCCCCCAATCCTCCCCATCACCACCACTAACACCATTCGGTTGCTCACCTGCTTTTTTATTCCTCCCTCCAAAAATAACGCTGTATATATTGATTTGTAGATAGAATATATATCTGTGAGTGCTCAGGGTAAACCATTCCTCATGATAGAGACTGGGAGACAGAGAGAAGGAAACAGAGAGAGAGGGACAGTGTGAGAGATGGAGAGTGTGAAAGAAAGACTGAGAGAGAGAGAAAAAAGGCAACTCGTTATTTTCTCTGTTACAGGATCCGACCCCTTGTGTGTGTGTGTGTGTGTGGGAGGGTGTGTGTCTGGGGGTTGTGTGGGGTGTGTGTGTGGGAGGGTGGGGTTGTGGGGTGTGTGTGTGTGTGTGGGGTGTGTGTGTGTGGGGGTGTGTGTGTGTGTGGGGTATGTGTGTGGGGTATGTGTGTGTGTGTGTATGGGGGGGTAATTTACAAGATGGGTCATGTACCCCCTCCCTTCCCAATCCCACCCCCACCCCCACACCCTTTTGTGGGGCGTGCGGACAGGTTCACAGCACGCGACACATTTTGCCGCTCACTCCTTTTTCAAACCGGGTTGGGAACGAACATACGTGTGCAGGCACCGCACACGCCCTGTTAAGGGTGCGCTTGCTGATCACACGGCTGACGTGCCCCCCCATGTTGCCCTGTACGCACACGTGTTTGCAACCGAAAACACACAAAAATGTCTGGCTGCACCACATGTATGTATGTATGTTTGCGGTGCAAGAGCAGATCAGTCCAGTCCCTGTGGTGGTAGAGATTGCTCTCTGCACCTCCACTGAGATAGGGGCAGAGCATCGAGGTGTCCCCACTGGGGCTCTGTTGCCTTTGTCTACTGGGAGCAGTTAGACGGGGAGCGAGTCACTGCCGTACTTTATTTTCAGGACCAAATAAATTCATCGAGACGTCTGGTGAGATATGATAAGGCGCGATATCAAATGCAAGGATTATTCTTCTTTTTATTACTATTCCCTGGATCGCACTCCCGTTATCTCATGTTGACAGGGGCGAAGGCTGAGATATCTGAGCCTGGATTCACGAATGCTGTGGGTGAGAGCAGTGTTCAGAACCGTAGGAGACAATGGACAGGTAGCGATGAAATTGAACCGGTTATTTTAAGCAACGCTGGCGATTCTCACTCATTGTGTGCAACTGAACAGCTGGACGTGGGATGGGCAGAGAGAGAGAGGGGTGGGGGGGGGGGGGGGAGGGAGAGATAGAGGGGGGAGAGAGAGGGGGAAAGATAAATCTCTACTCCATTCAGCAGGAAATCTTAGATGCTTAGTCACGTTAAACAAACTATGCTTTAAGATGGATCACATTCCCTGGCAGCCCTCAGTTTAAAATAAGCTTTGATAAAGCCCGGTTGTGTTCTGGAGAGGGGGAAATCAATCTCTAATGTTTTACAGGCATGCGTCGACTTAAAGGGGAAATTTTAAGAGATGCCAAGTCTTGTGAAGGGAGGGGGTGAATAGTCTTGTGAATGTGAGATGCTAACTTGCCTCTGACCATCGAGTTATAATCTTTTCTGTTGCACACGGCACACATCATTCGTTCTCTTTTTATGTATACAAAATAGTCGGTTTTTATTCTGTCCTTTAACTGGCCCAAATTCAATTAATTCACTCACAAATGTGTATTTTCCCGGGAGGGAGGGCGGGAGGGAGGTGCAGTTTAATAGAGGCAAAATTGCAGGGTTTTATTACAAGGCGTTTGGGGCGGGCGGGGGGGGGGAGGGGGGAAAGAGAAGGAAACGTGTAGGTGATTAACATTTGCTTTTTCAAAAAAAAATTGAGCATTTGGTTGCAAAGGTTAAAACATCTCATTCCATGTTCAAAAAAGAATTCCAGCTCCACCTTTCAAACAGATGTGGCGAAGTTCTCCTTTGATTCCCAGCTAGTCTCTCCTGTGTTGTTTTACTCGAAGGTCGGAGGGTGGGGGCAAGAGGAAAATCATTTTTTTTGAAAAACAACAACTGAAAGCTACTTTTTTTGTGTGTAACTGCTGTCATTAGCTGCTCGCCTTGGGGGTGATGTTGGTGGGTTAGACTGGATTTTATTGCTGGGTTTCCTCTGAACAAAACATTGATTGGAACGAGCCAACTGTGGTGGTCAAAGGGAATCTTCTTGATGTAAAACGAAGGTCTAAATTCTTATTGTCCACAATATATTTATTTTTTGGAGGGTGTGTTTGTGTTTGCGTGTGTCCTTTCGACCTGAAAGGCGCTTTGGGATGTCCTCCCAACGTGAAAGGCGCTGATACAAATGCAATTTGTTGTTGTTGGTTGCTGTGTGTGTGTGTGTGTGTGTGCGCTCGCGGGTGTGTGTGTGTGTGTATTGGAGGGAACCACTTATTTATCTGCTTGAGGCCACATCTTCTGTGAACAGTGTGACTTGACAATGTTCACTGAAGGTTGGGATGAAATGGAAATGGACGTAAGGGACTTAGAATCATGTCCATTTCTTCTGTAGCCCACACACACCCCACTTTGCAACACGACACGGGGTGTATGGCTTCAGCGGGTAGCAATGAAATTGAACACTTTATTTTAAGCAACCTTGACCATTCTCATTGTGTGCAACTGAACAGTTGGATGTGGGATGGGCAGAGAGAGAGAGACCGAGAGGAGAGGGAGGGAATGAGAAATCACTACTCCACATTCAGCGGGAAATCTTAGACAGCCATAAAAACGGTGTCACTTGATGATTTTTTTTGTTTGTTTAGCTAGTTTTTTTTTATTATCTTTAAATTAAATAAAACATTTTTTTGGGGGTAGATTTTTATATTTTCCCAAGGAGGTTTTTTTCCAAAGTGGTGAGTGGTTTGGGGATACTCTGTGTGTGTGTGTGTGTGTGTGTGAGTGTGTTTTTGAGTGGGCTGCATTTCAGAACAGTGGACTGTTTTATGGGGAAGTTTTTTTTTCTCGTTCTGGGAATAATTCGATCCATCAGACTCGGGAGGGATCGGTCTGGATCAAACAGGTGCACAGGATCTACAGAAGAGACGAACAAAGGGCAAGCTCGCTAGGGGGATGCGAGCAGTTTCATTTGAAAGAACTTTTATTTTTTTTAAGTCAGATCAGAACGCTTGGTGATATGGCAACCCCCAATCCTGGGGAGTTTAGAGCAATAGGAAATCTACCCCTTTTGTCCCCCTATTTTTGGTGCTAAGCGTTAGAGAAGGGTTCCTTCCTCACATTGGCTGATGTGACTGTTGATAATCTGTTGTACAAGTGTCCTTTCTTTTGGCATTGAGAGACATCTGACAGGACACACCTGGGTAAGAGAGGCATTATTCTACACAGGAACGCTGTGTATGTGTGGGTACACATACACAAACTCACCTCGCCCCTGTTATGAGCTGAATAAAAAGGTTTGCATTGCATCAGTGGGAAGGGACGTGAGAATACCAAGACAAGGCCGAGTCCCAACAAGACTGGAGAAACAGAAAGAGAGAGATGGAGAGAGATTTAGCAGATTTCAAATGGATCAAAGAGCCGGAGGTATGATCAATACAGTGCAAAGGTTGTGAAATCAGCTTTGCAAATAATCCAACATTATTGCAATTAACCGGGTTGTTGCAGACCAGAACAGATTTTGCTCTCAAACTTGTCTTTCTAGTTATGCAGAAAGACAAGAGTTACATATCACCACATTGTATCATTAAGAGTCCAGCACACACACACACACAAGCATTGAAGACTTGCACACACACACAACAGACTTGCACACACACACAGAAGACTTGCACACACACATTGAGGATTTGCGCACACACACACTGAAGACTTGTACACACACACACTGAAGACTTGCGCGCACACACACACAGTGAAGATTTGGACACTCACACTGAAGACTTGCACACACACAGTGAAGACTTGGACATACACACACTGAAGACTTGCTCACACTCATACACACATAAGACTTGCACACACACACATTGAACACCTGCACACACACACATACACACCTGAGGATTTGCACACACGCGCACACACACACCCACTGAAGACTTGCACACATACACACAGAAGACTTGCACACACACACACAGTGAAGACTTGGACACACACACAGTGAAGACTTGGACACACACACAGTGAAGACTTGCACACACATACACTGAAGACTTGCACACACACACACACTGAAGACCTGCACACATACATACACCTGAAGATTTGTACACACGCACACACACACACACCCACTGAAGACTTGCACACACATACACACAGAAGACTTGCACACACACACACACTGAAGACTTATGCACACACTGAAGACTTGCACACACACACACTGAAGCCTTGCACACACACACACAGTGAAGACTTGCACACACACACACTGAAGATTTGCGCACACACACACTGAAGGCTTACACACACACTGAAGACTTGCGCACACACACACTGAAGGCTTACACACACACACTGAAGACTTGCACACACACACACACACACACACACTGAAGGCTTACATACACACACACTGAAGACTTGCGCACACACACACACACACTGAAGACTTGGACACACACACAGACACTGAAGGCTTACATACACACACACTGAAGACTTGCACACACACACACACTAAAGACTTGCGCACACACACACTGAAGGCTTACACACACACTGAAGACTTGCACACACACACACTGAAGACTTGCACACACACACACACTGAAGACTTACACACACATAAACACACTGATTTTGTGGGCCAAACTGTGCTGCTTTGCAAAAGATGTTTTGCATTACAATCTGTCTTCAATATCAGGCTGTAAGGCATTGTGAACAACAACAATTTGCATTTATATAGTGCCCTTGATGCGGGTTTCCTACCGGAGTGGTTGACTGTGGCCTCCTAGCGAGAGGGAGAGGGTGGAGAGCAATATGCCTTGTAA